TCAAGTCAAGTCAAGTCACCTTTATTTATATAGCATTTTATACAATACAGCTTGTATCAAAGCAGCTTTACAGTGTCAAATGGGAAAATAGTGTGTCGATAATGCAAGAGGATGATAGTAAACAGTCACATTTTCAGTTAAAGTCACTGATCATCATCCAGTTCAGTTCAGTTCTCTGACAGCAACAAGACAAGCAACGTAATGTCATCATATAATTGAGATCAAGGAAACAGACTAGCCAGCTAATAGTCAAACCTCAAACCTTCCTTGTGTTCAAACGATGTAATCCATCCTCAATACTTGAAACAAATAGTGGACTCTTGTGGGTCCAGGACTGGTGTGATTCTTAAATAAAAGTCTGCAAACTGGGTCTGTCTCAGACTGAAATTGGCCACTGTTACACCTGTGCTGAAAAAACCTTCACTTGATGCAACTGTCCTAGCAAATTTCTCCCAATATCTTTTATTTATAAGGTGTTGGGAAAGATAGTGCCTGTCTAACTGATAATGAGATATTTGAAGAATTTCAATCAAGGTTTTAGTCATGACTTAAACTGAAACTGCCCTTATAAGAGTTCTTAATGATATTTTAATGGACACAGATTCTGGTAACTCAGATATTTTAATTATATCAGACCTGTCCTCTGCCTTTCATACAATCGATCACACGATTCTTATCTCCAGATTGATATTTTGGGGGGAACTGTATTAAAACGGTTTAAGTCTTTCTTAGCGAACAGAAAATTCTCAGTTACTACAGGAAATCTGTATCTGGCTTATGGTGTTCCTCAGGGTTCTGTCCTATCACTGTGGTGTCGTCTGCTGCTCATCTTAGGAACCACACTCAGTCTTGTTTTTTGATGCCAGGAGATACACTTTATTACATCATCAATGATAATAAATAATAAAGCGGAGATGCTCTCTCTGCAGCGAAAACATCTCTTGAATGATCATCTTGTCTTCTTTTTATACAGTTCTGGTCTCCGAATGGAGGCGTGGGGTATATATTCCATAGTTTTTCCATACATAGAATGGTTCCTTTGTGCATACAATTCTCTAGAGAGAAAGCCCCCCCTCTCTAGTCTTGTTATGGTAAAGAAAGACCCCACTTATGTTTCCCAGATGTTACTCATCTGAGGTCTGTACATTCTGCCACGTAGGCATTTTCCACACACAGGCATATGGGATTATAATGGAAGTATAACTGGATATTTAAATGGCTATATTACTAATGATTACACTCGAACAATTGATCTTTTAACCAATAAAAATCTACCACATCACCAGCTCTGTTTTCACTATATATGCTTACCCTGGGTTCTGTCTTTAGGAAACATGGGGTTTCTTTTCATTGCTACGCTGACGATACACAAATTTACCTACCCATGGCATAGAATAATCAAACAGCTTTAAATTCTCTGTTTGCCTGTTTGTAAGAGGTTAAAGGGATAGTTCACCCAAAAATTTTAATGTGATGTTTATCTGCTTACCCCCAGGGCATCCAAGATGTAGGTGACTTTGTTTCTTCAGTAGAACACATTTGATGATTTTTAAGTCCAACCGTTGGAGTCCATCAGTCTTATAATTCATGGCAATGGTAACAAAGTCTATGAGTGTAAAAAAACATGCGCAGACAAATCCAAATCAAACCCTGCGGCTCCTGACGACACATTGATGTCCTAACACACGAAACGATTGGTTTGTGGCAGAAACCCAACAGTATTTACAGTGGGGCAAAAAAGTATTTAGTCAGCCACCAATTGTGCGATGAAAATTACAGGCCTCTCTCATCTTTTTAAGTGGGAGAACTTGCACAATTGGTGGCTGACTAAATACTTTTTTTCCCCACTGTATATTATATTTTATCTCTAATTCACCACTATGTCCAGCATCCGGTGCGTGAGGTGTGTACGCGCTCTGGCGTAGTTTACGTTAATGGGTGTGTTGTCACGGGGAGGAGCAAACGACAGACACAGTTTATTAACAGAAAATAAACGAAGTGTCCAGAAAAAAGAGAATCAAGTGTCCAAAATAAACAGGGGATCTGGTGTCCTCGTCGTGCTGCGGGGTTCGTGAAGGAAAGGGCAGTGGTCAGGAAGGAAGGGTCCAAGTAAGGGGCGGAGTCCGGCGGCCGCACGCGCTCTCCGGTCCGGGGCGCGACGGTTTCTATCAGCGGCTACGTCCTTCTCTCTGCCCACGGCGCTTGAAGGGAGTAGACGGCCCAGCATCCTTGCCCGACGGCTGTGTAACGGGTGCGGATCTCGTCTGGACTGCGGGTTCGGCAGCTCACGACTCTACGCAACACGGGAGTCCCTCTACGCACCCCTCCTGGACCCACGAGGACACCAGTGTGCATGTACGCGGAAGAGACCGGTCCCCCGAGGAGAGGTGCGCTTGGCATTTAATCAGCGGCAGTGATGAAGCTCCATTCGGTTCAGGTGTGCCCCATCACACGCCGCCGTGTGTACGCGCTCTGGCGTAGTTTACGTTAATGGGTATCCAGCCGAAGAGCAATCAACCATAACTTCAGGCGAGCAGGCTAGGAAGTCGGTTTGAACAATCCGGATAAGCACAAGTAAGTACCATTTGATTAGTCGTCGTACCTACAATGTTTGTGCACTGTGTAAACAATGAGTGACGTATACATGTGAGAGATCACATCCGGCGCTTGCGTAAACTACGCCAGAGCGCGTACACACCTCATGCACCGGAAGCTGTGCGGGCGCACAAAGACAGTTGGACATAGTGGTGTATTAGAGGTAAAAAATTATATAAATACTGTTTGGTTTCTGGCACAAACCGATCGTTTCGTGTCTTAGGACATCAATGTGTCGTCACGAGCCGCAGGGTTTAATTTGGATTTGTCTGTGCGTGTTTTTTTACTCTCATATATTTTGTTACCATTGCCATGCATTATTAGACTGATGGACTGCAACGGTTGGACTTAAAAATCATCAAATGTGTTCTACTGAAGAAACAAAGCATCTTGGATGCCCCGGGGTAAGCAGATAAACATCAAATTTTCATTTTTGGGTGAACTATCCCTTTAAATGCCGGCTTTCTAAAAGCCTCCTTTTTTGAATGCAGATAAAACAGAGGCTATTGTTTTTGGCCCCTCTGTTTCATCGGGAATTTACATGATTGATCTTGGATATCTACAAACTTTTTTTTCTAATGTGAGGAATTTCGGTGTGGAGCTTGGCAACTCTCTCAAGTTTGATAAACATATTAGCTCTGTGATTGGATCTAGTTTCTTTCACCTCCGCTTGCTTGCTAAAATTAAGCCGTTTCTATATGAGAAGACCTTGAAAGTTGCTATGCCTTTATTATAGTATTTATTATTTGTGTTGTACAGCCTTGTAGCTGTTTTAAATGTTCTTCAGAAATAATATTACTGTGCATTTTAAAAGCATTTTGAGAAATGAGAAGTGAGTCTGGATCACCTGTGCTGCATTAAAGCTTACTGTACAAATGAATGCACGGCTCAGACAAACTGTATGTTACCACTGTGTGTATGTTATTCCTTCATGAATAAATTTCTCAGTGAGTAAATGAGAATCAAACAACAAGTCAACAAAACATTAATATTGAAAAAGATGTTTACAAGAAATAAAAACAAATGCAATACATTGCAATGAGCAAAAACAAATGGTGAAAACCAAGCATATCTCAAATCTGTTGTCTGCAGACTTCTGCAAACTTTGAAGGCAAGGCATCTGTAGTATGTGTGCCTAACGTATTCAATGAAGAAAACGCAACACACACTAGGATAAGATACACACACTATCTAACACCACAGACCCTGAAACATACAGGTCACACAAACAAAGCATGAAATCATGTCTTAAGCAAAAGTACTAGTCAAACCTAAGAAAGAAGATTAGATAAATGAAGGGCTATTGAGGAATGTGAGCAAAGGTAAGACTTAGATGATTATAAAAGAACATGTGAATAAGAAAGCCAGTTCATTTTTGGATTCAACTTTTAATTTGTAGACAAACTCCTTGTGTGTGTAAACATACTTGCAAAGTATACAGAGCCAAAGACTCTGAGAAAACTCCACATGTGGAAGCGCTAAGTTATTCAAATGTATGCCAGTGCAAACAGCCTTTGAGCTTAATGCTGAAATATAGGAACAGTAATGGGAGGTTGATGAATGGATAAAACGGCACCGAGAGGAGTGACGTATGCAGAGATTCGGTCGTAGAACACCAGTATTCCAGCAGACGTCATAGAAATCCTTGCTTCATAGGAAGACCTGCCTGGAACTACTTTAGCTGAGAAATAACTGCACACTTTAGAATATTAACTGACCGATCAAAATGAAGCCCAAGCCAGTAGTATAACGATCATTTACAAATTAGCTGACGCTTTTACCCCAAGCAACTGATTTAACACATTCTATGGTACACAGTTAATGAGTAAAAGAGTTCCCTGGACTCTTGTGTTGTTAGTGTCATACAGTACTGATGGAGTCGTGAGTACACTTTAACATTTCCCAAATCTTTTCATAGTGTCTGATACACTGAGATTCTTCATGTTTGTTTTTGCTCCTGCAGTTGATCATGTGTGACTGTGTGCCGATGAGATTTCATGTTGGTGATTTAATTTTAGGACTCAATGAGTGTGTTTTAGTGAACTCTACAGCCAGATTTGTCTTGATAGATGTTCTGGACATGTTTTGTTAGATCTTCAAAAGTCTTTATATGACATGATTAACTTGTATTTTACCTCTCTAGTAAAACCAGCATCAACTAAACCCAGTCTGGTTAAAGACTGTAGCTGGTCACAAACAAATCTTTAAGCATTTCTATGTGTCTTATTCAGCCTGCTTGTGTAGTTTGATGTGAAAGTGTGTTGTTAAAGCAATATTTTACACAAACAGAAAGAGGAAAGACTGCTCATGTGGGGAGTTACTGTACTGTCTAATGCAGGATTATTGGAGTATTTCTCAGTGCGGTTGATTAAAGGAAGAGAAATGTGTTTGGGTCTCCAGTGGTCATGGACAAACCAGTGTGCTTGATTGACACGGCATCCGATGGGAAGCTGTGTGTGCAGGGGTCAGCGTTGCAGGTTCTGGAGCAGATCCAGCAGCCCGTGGTGGTGGTGGCTGTGGTGGGTCTCTATCGCACCGGGAAGTCCTACCTGATGAATCGACTGGCCGGGAAACAAACAGGTCAGCAGCACTGATGCCATCCAAACGCTCGTGCTGTTCAAATGAATGCATGCAAGTCATTGTGGGGTTTCTGGTGTGTGGTTATCAGGGTTTGCACTGGGCAGCACAATCGAGTCCAAGACGAAGGGCATCTGGATGTGGTGCGTGCCTCACCCCACTAAAGCAGAAACCACTCTGGTGCTGCTGGACACCGAGGGACTCGGGGACGTGGACAAGGTGAAGTAACAAATTTACCAAATTACTAGTGCCCAAGGGTCCAATAACACTCTCACTTCTGCAGCAGAGATAACCTTAAAGGTCACCTTTAAGGTTATCTCTGCAGCAGAGATAACCTTAAAGGTGACCTTTTATGCCCCTTTTTACAAGATGTAAAAATCGTCTCTGATGTCCCCAGAGTGTGTACGTGAAATTTTAGCTCAAAATACCCCACAGTAGAGCCCTGCACGGGCCTCAAATATAGGCCCTAGCCCGGCCCTTGTCTGACAGCTTATCAGAATTACCGACCCGAGCCCGTCTCCCAAAACAGCTTATACTACTGTTTCAGCTATGAAAGTAGTTCAGTTTTGTATGTAATGGCAAAGTGATATTTCCGTAAATTTTTTTTATTAAGTTAATTTAGAAAAACGTTTGGAGCATTTTTTTGTTCGTTAAATATACGTTTTTGTTTTTAAAGTAACGACCAAGAGGCCAGCGGCAGACAGTGAGTTGATCATAGCCTATGTTTGATCAATTTACCTTCTCAAATCATCACGACTTGCCTAAAATAAAATCTATAGATATTAGGGATGTAACGATATTATCAATTTCGTGGTATCACGATATCAAAATGGTCTTGATATTATCATGGTCACATGACGATATGAAACGATAAGTCTTCTGGGCAAAAAGTGTAGTTTTTTCAGCCCAGTGGAGCAGCGTGGAGGGAATTGAAATGTCTCCACTGCTAAACTGACATACTACCATAACAAAATTAACAATTCGTCTAACTCTCGCATGCTCTTTAAAAAATGTTCCTCTCTCCTTTGTCCTCCTCCTCCCCCTCCTTCAACCCTATTGGCAAAGGGCATCTCAGGAACCACGCTCCAGTGGTTTGAGTCTTAACTCTCAGATAGGTCCTTCAAGATATCTTGGAGAGGTGAGGTGTCCAAGTCACAACATCTAGCTACTGGGGTGCCTCAGGGCTCTGTTCTTGGACCACTTATCTTCTCTGTCTACATGGCATCACTAGGTTCAGGTCTTCCAGCCAGTTCTATCAAACCTTTAAAATTAATCCAGAACGCGGCAGCAAGATTAATTTTTAACGAGCCGAAAAGAATGCATTATTAGTATAAAACTCAAGGCAGTAATGTTTGTCTACAAAACCACCACTGGCTCTGCATCCCTTTACCTAAATGTATTACTTCAGACTTATGTGCCTCTAGAAGCTTGCATTCTGCAAGTGAATGTTGTTTTATTGTTCATCCCAAAGAGGCACAAAATCACTTTCTCTGACTTTTACATTAACTGTTCCCTCCTGGTGGAATGACCTGCCCAACTCAATCCCAGCAGCTGAGTCCTTATCCATCTTCAAGAATCGACTAAAAACACATATCAACACAAACATTTTTATTTGCCCCTCTAACTCTCTATTCTAATTCAAGTTAGAATTTTTCAAATTCAAGTAATTCTATTCTATTCTGTTTTCTTTTTATTTATTATATGATTTAAAAACCTTGCTACGTGTACTGCATTAAGCTAACTGAGACTTGTTATAGCACTTGCATATTATTGCTCTTTTGTTGATTTTGATTGCTTCCATTGTCCTCATTTGTAAGTCACTTTGGATAAAAGCGTCTGCTAAATGTCTAAATGTAAAAATTAGCCACCAAGATCGATCTTGAATGAGATCTTGAAGATCTCCTTGGGGGTTCTTTTAGTCAGGTGGACAGCAGAAGACAGCCCATGGCTGAGATCGAAGCAGACATTGACTCGTACTGCAAAGAGACCTCTATCTCACTTTTCGCTTGTCCTCTCGAGTGGTGGAGAAGCAACTCACATCATTACCCACTGCTGTCAACCTTGGCCAAGTCATATCTCTCTGTCCCAGCAACCTCAGTCCCAAGTGAGAGGGTTTTTTTGACAGCAGGGGAAATTGTAAATGGCCAGAGATCCCAACTTCTACCCGAAAATGTTGATATGCTCATTTTCCTAAAAAGAAAAACCTGTCTCAGAGTGAGTGAGCGAGTCCGTGAGTAAATGAGTGAAAGAGGTGAGTGGGTGAATGTGTGAGTGAATCAGTGAGTGAGCTGACATATTTATTCAGCTCTAGGTCCAGCTGCAATAAGTAGGCTGCTATTTTTATTTTTACTGGGTTGTTTTTGTTTTCAAGAATTGACCCATCTCAAAGCCCACCCTCTTGTCTTGACCCTTCATTCACAATAGTTGCTTTCCTAGCACAACAAAGCAACAGCATGTGATTGGAGGCAAAAGAAAAGAGGCCTTAAAATAGCCCAATTGAGGGAGTGACTCACAATCCTCAAAACCCGATTGTCTAAGGTAGTTCGTAGTAGCATAGAGAATATTAGAAAGAATAATGATGTTACCTGTTACCTCATACCATACCTCTAAGCAACAGTTATGATTAGAGGATAAAGAAAAGAGGACAGGATATCATGTGGTTAATTTGTTCATCATTGTAATGTTCAATCACTGTTAATAAACACTTATGGCACTTTTTTCCAAGTCTTCATTTGTCTTTTCTTTTTTTTAAATATTTAAATATCGCAATAAATATCTTATCGTGGACTGAATATCGTGATATTATTGTATCGTGAGATTTTGATATCGTTACATCCCTATTACATAGTATTACAGATAGTCAATCTAAAATGGTGACTGTGCAATAACAGCTGTCAACCAGCTCGGTAGGCAAATGAGTGGTCCAAACTTATTTTGGGCGTACATTCAGCATGTTGTTGGCTTTTGAGAATGGACAGATGTATTCAGTCTAGTGCTAGCTTGCTACTTTGCTGTAAAGTGGAGGCGGGGGCATCTCGACCTGCTTAAATGGAGCTCTAAATGTTATAGCCTGTAGTTGTGCGAGTACCTTTCATTGAGTTGAATATGAATGCAAATTCATGGCTATTTCCAGTTTATCGTTCTAACTTCACAAATGTGGTTCTGCATCTTAGGGGGACTCGAAGCATGACACAAACATCTTCTGTCTGGCTGTGTTACTGAGCAGCACTCTGGTCTTCAACAGTCAAGGGACGATCGACAACAGGGCTGTAGAGGAGCTGCAGTATCCTTCTGAACATTTATCTAGATTTTAATTCATTAATTTGTTTATTCATTGCAAAAGAAAGAGATTGTTCAGATGTTTACCACCATTTCACACAGGAAAAATGTGCAAATGTGCTTGCTTTGTGAATGCTTTATATCAAAAATATATTTATATAGTTACATGTACTACAGTGTAAAAACATGACTGGCAGAAGTTAATTAATTTTAACTGCAATATTCCATTATGCAGTTTTTGGCACTTAAACCCTCTCTAAACCTAACCATTTCTATAAAGTATACACAATATAAAGAAAAAACATGATAGACAGGCAAGTGTAATCACAATAACTTATTTCAAAAGTGACAACAAGCAGTACCAAGGTAGTCCAATCAAAGTTTAATTTGAAGTGCTGTCTGGTGCTGTACAACAGTATAGAGTGATGTATAGAGTAGTGTTGCACGATATACTGGTACTAAAAAGGTATCGCAATACCCTGCTTTTAAAAACAGTATGGTTCCTCTTTTTACCAGTACCGGTTCTTTAAGAATGACAGCAGTTTAATAAGAGCCGTATTTCCTGAGTTGTGTCGACATGCAGCACCAGGGTAGAGTGTGTGCAGCGCTCTGCTTCTCTCCCTGCAGGCACACTGGCCATGCCAACTTTATATATCCACACAACGCAGAACTGCCTAACTGTACTGACAAGACAAGAAACATGCATGAATACGAAAATAAAGCACGGGATGTGTTTGATGTTAAAAAGAGATATTAAGCGCAAAAAAACCTGGGAAAGAAACTCAATAAAAGTACAGTGTGCACACACAGAAAGCCGCCTCTCTCGGACAGCAATAGAATTGTGATTTCAGATCTCGTAATTGTAGTAGTATTTAGTATTTCAACAGTCAAATACACACACAGTTATGTTAAAATGACTGTCTTGGCTTATAACTTAAGTAAATTGTGAACAGCTGAGAAAGAAAACGTGTGTATCTATAGATGCATGCAGCTCTTAAAGTGACAGGAGATTTATATTTCTGCTGCTGCCTGTATTAATAATGTTAATCAAACAACAACAGAAAAAGAGAAAATTGCTCACTGATCTTGACAGACTAAATTTTGTAGCTTTATTAAGTATCAATGTATGAATGTTTAATTCATACAGTGAAGATATGCAGTTTGGTTATATTCCCCACCACAAGCTCATGCCCTCAAATATAAGTCAAATGAGAGTGATTTATTTTGTGACACATGAACTTTTACACCATCTTTGTTTAAAATAAATCTCTTGAATTGTTTGATGGGGCAATTGAGATCAGTAATAACCTTCTAATTTGGCTTTATCCTTTTAACTGAACAATGTTGCAAAGATCTATATTTACCTGTAGGCTCAGTTGTATCATAGACTGATAGTTGCTTACCACAGTGTGGTCGCACTGGCATGAGATTATTTATTTATTTAAAGAGGGAGGCAATGCTCAAAAAGCAGGGCAGGCACACACTTCAGAAATAAGTAAGCTCTTTTTTTGGCCAGGAGCCAAAGGGTCTGTGGTAATGGAGGGTATTTTCTGATGTTTCCTGATGATATCTCCCAAGGTTAACATGTAAAGCGTGAAAAGCAGTGGTCCTAGTACTGAGCCTTGAGGTACACTGTACTTGTGATCAATATGACAACTCTTCATTCACTGCTACGAATGGATGACGTCAGATAAGTACGATTTGAACCATGCCAATGCAATTCCACTAATGCCAACATAATTTTGTAGTGTTGTGATCGATAGTATCAAGCGCGGCGCTAAGATCCAGTAGCACTAATAGAGATAGAACCACGATCAGATGATAAGAGCAGGTCATTTGTAACTCTGATGAGAGCAGACTCAGTACTATGATACGGTCTGAATCCTGACTGGAAAACCTTATAGATACCATTTTCTCAAAAAAGAAACACGGTTGTGAGTTGTCTAGTATCTTTGACAGAAATGGGAGATTCGAGATCAGTCTGTAATTAACTAGTATTCTTCAGGGTGAAGTTGTTGTTTTTTTTTAAAGAGAGGCTTAATAGCAGCCAGTTTGAAGGTTTTGGGGACATATCCTAATGACAATGATGAATTAATAACATGAGTGTGCTTGTTATACCAATGTGTCGGACTGTTTTCCTTAATCTTTTTTAATCGTAACGAAGCAACCGTGTCTAAAGTGCTAGAAAAGAGAGAGTTCATAGTTTCATGCTGAGGAGACAAATCAGGAATATTATTTACAAAGTCTTTTGTCATAGAAGTGATGGTTCTACCATATTTGTAACAAGGAGTTGAGTTTTTAGCTATATGGATTATGCACAAGACTATAGAATGATCTGAGATATCAACGCTCTGCTGCAGAATTAAATCTAGAGTTTATAGAGTTATTTAATTTAGTTATTAAATAGAGTTTAGAATGTCTATAAATGCTTATCCCAATGCATCTTTTTTTATTATCTACATGGTGCTTCATATAATATCATCTAGTGTAATATAATATCCATCACTTCAAATGAATTGAACTTGAAATCAGACCTTTGACAAATATGGAAAATATTGCCATAAATTGTAGCAACACCTTCCCCTTTACTATTTGGACGCAGCTCATATCAGTAATCTTGAGGGGTAAAATCGTTTCAAGTAATGCAATCACCTGGTTTTAGACAGGTTTCTGTCAAACAGAGCATATCTAGGTTATGATCTGTGTTCGTATCATTTACAAAAAGCACTTTCGTAGAAAGGGATCTAATATTCATTAAGCCAAGGTTTTTCATTTGTTTATCTGTCTTATATATGTTTTGTATTTGTTGAACATCAATTAAATTATTGCCCTTAAATTGGTTTGGGCATTTTTTGTATTTGTCTCTATAGTATGATATCTAGGTGAAGGGTTCTCTATCTAGGTGAAGGGTTCTCTATCAACCAAAGATATGTCAATATTTTTCAAAAGTGACAAACCATTGGCATTATACGTAATTTGTGTATTTGGAAAACAAAATAGGTGACAAGACACAGCCTTGTGGGACCCCAGTATTTACAATGATGCTACTAGATTTAAAACCATTAACTGAGTGTGGACACTGTTCTTGAACTGATACCTGAGCTTTCTCCATCATCGCGTTGAACCTCTGCCACGCTGCCCTTGCATTTCCCTGGTGAACCTCTCCTCCATCTTTATAACAGTGCTTGGTTTTAGTATTGCATTATTGTCTGATATTAACATATGCACCAGATATGTAAGCGTGTTAACATCGCAGCTGTTTAAGAGACAGCATTATTATAGTTGTCTGCAATGCGTTCAGCTGCAAGAGCATTATCAGGACCAGAGACACAATCATGGTCACTTGTGTGAACTCACAAGGTAAATAGCGAGGACATAATGGCACAGTCATAATTTCATGGGTCATGCGAATTGTAAAGTCAGTTGCCTATTTATCATTTACAGCAAAGCAAACCTGTTGTGTAAAATTTCGAAAACTACCCAAGCAACGTTAAAATTCTATTTTTGTGCAAAAACAATGAAACAAATTAAATAATACAAATATACAACAGTATTATATAAATAAAACAATTAAATGTTTAAACAATTACAGAAATTCTATTCACTGTAGAATTTTAAGGTGGTCTTGTTTAAAATTATGTAATACTTTTGTAATACATAATTATGTAAAATTGGCACCAGAAGTCACAAAGAACAGAATAAAATGTTATAATTAATAAATGACTCAACTGCGTTAAATACAATTGAAAACATAATCTCACTGATCATAAATACGACAGAATCAACCAATACATTCCATAAGGCACTTCCATTCATAAATATTTGTAAATGTGTACATCTGTAAAGTTATTCATTCATAAATTGTGTTTTAGATCTGGGGTCGGCAACCTTTTTGGCATGATGTGCCATTTTTAATTTTTCTGGTTAACCACTGTGCCAACCCACGCCCCACCCCACCACCCTCTTTTTTAATGCATTCTGTATTTATACAGTACATACACATTTTTAAATGATACGATAAAAAAAAACAATAGGCATATTTTATTTTCATGCAAATAGTTTCTGAAGATTTTTTCATAAACTGTTTTTTAAATCTTTCAAAAGTTTCTTGAATAACAGATATACGACTGTACTGAACACCACTGTATGTGTGTGTGTTTGTGTGTGTGACAAGGCCAATGCATTAAAACCGTTCAGTTTAATCACTGTTCCATATTAATGCGCTGCTTTAATTGATACGCGCGCACACAAACACACACATACTACGCGCACAGAGATCTGAGATCGCGTTGTGCAAAAAAGTAACATTCAGAATCTCATAAGCTTGTTGTCAGCGCTGCCACACGACTTTTATTAATCGATACTGAATCGCTACATTATATTTCTCAGCAACGAGGGGGGTAAAATCGCTGTTTTTTTAAGTAACAAAACTCAGCGATTATCCCTACCATAGGTTGCCGACCCCTGTTTTAGATGCTGTTAAATCAATATTATACATTTTATTGTCTATGTAAATGTACATGGTAGAACCACACTTATTGTAAAATACATACAAATACTAATTGAACCATGTTGGACAGTCACTTTGTGTTCATACCTAAACAAACTGTCAGATATGTTACTGAACTAACAGAGTGCATCAAGGTCAATTCACCAGACGAGGATGTTGATGATTCAAATGAGTTTGTGAAGTTCTTCCCTAGTTTCATCTGGGCAGTGAGGGACTTCACTCTGGAGCGAAAGATTGATGGCAAAGATGCAACAGAGAATGATTATCTAGAGTTTGCTCTGAAGCTAAAACATGGTAATTTAAGTATGGTACCAAATATTATTTTAAGAGCCACAATGAGCCACAATGAGCTCTTGTAATGAGTTTTTCCAAACTTAATGGTTTATCAACAGGTCTTACACTTACATCACTTATTCTGGTTCTATTTAGAATCCAAGTTTTGGGTGTACTGCATTTTGTTTAAATTGACTTATCTAAAAAAAGATATCAGTTTCAAATCAGTTTTTTCTGCTACTGAAAATGATAGCATAGGATGCAACTTTGCAATATGTCTAAAGTCAAAGAAAAATGAAGTCTTAACTGTATGTTTCACATGGGGGTGAAATGTCAAAAAAAGAATCCAAGATCACCCAAAGATTCAGTTTTATTTTAAACTCTATTACAGAGCCATTAAAGGGGTCCGGGGTGTTGCACAGCGCAGAGCGACGCGTCGTGTGTGTGTGTGTGTGCGTGTGTGTGTGTGTGTGTGTGTGAGGGGAACAGGGTCACATCACAGGAGAGTGAACTGCCTCATCACTGTCTGTCACGCGACTCTGTTGCCCTTTCGGGCTTGAACTGATGGTAAAACTAACAACATTATTAACTGTCTTGATATTTACTTTGAAAGCTGAAGCTGGCGATTATGGTAAGGGTGCGTTACATTTCCGTACAATGTACAGTATTTGAAAAATAATGTGTTTTTTGAACATTAAAATATGTCAACATATTCTGTTACACCAAATACACAAAATAATGATCTTTAAAAAAGCATCATATGACCCCTTTAATAGTTAGAGATATGAGCCAGTATTATGCCTTATCACTGTCTAGACAAAGAACATTGTTAGCCATCTATGGTGTTTTTCAGAAATACATTTAAAATAAATGAATCAGCCAGACTTACAAGTCAGATGTACCTAAAAATAGTGGCGGCTACCATTCAAGTTGCCATAACCCAACCATCAGGAGCAAGTGATGTTCAGTGTCTTGCCCAAGAACACTTAATCAGTTGGTTAGGTGAAACTGGGATTTAAGCTGGGAATCCTCTCCTAGTCAACATATCTACTCCCTGAACCAGTGTTGTTCATCCACAGCAGATTGTGTTCTCCCTGTTCCAACTCTAGATCAGTCGTTCTCAATTCCAGTCCTTGCGACCCCCTGCTCTGCACATTTTGTATGTATCGCTTACCCTTCAGATATTTGTTCTATTTGACCGTAAGTGCTTTGCAAAGTGGACATCCCAGGATATTTCTCCAAGATTCCCCTTGGAAGGGAGTGCATACATTCCATTTAAAGGGCATTAAAGTGTGTGAGATGTGATATGTCACTTCTCTAGTAAGTTTCGTCTGTGTGTGAAGACACTGCAGGCCGCTGTGTAGAGCAAATCCTTGAACAAATGTTCCAAAGTGAAGTAAACTTCAATGGATTTCCCATGCTCAGGGAGTAGGGAGCAATGAACACTGTGTAGGGACCATGTCAATCGGTACACAATTAATTTATTAAGATATCTTACAATGAGCTGGTTATCTGAATTAGGTGTGTTAAATAAGGGAGACATGCAAAATATGCAAAGCAGTGGTACGCAAGGACTGGAATTAGGAACCACGGCTCTAGATCAGGGGTGCCAAAACTCCTGGAGGGCCACTGTCTTGCAGAGTTTAGCTCCAACTTGCCTCAACACACCTGTCTGGAAGTTTCTAGTGTGCCTAGTAAGACCTTGATTAGATGGTGCAGATGTGTTTAATTGGGGTTGGAGCTAATCTCAGCAGAACACTGGCCCTCCAGGAGCAGGACTGGATACCTAGATAATAGCATAAATTTATAATACACTGTGGATGGAAAGGGTTCAAAGTGGAGAAAAAAATGTCCAGTGACAATGTGGCCCAGAAGAGTAACTGAATCAGCTACACTCTGCTCAAAGAACAGACACACTTTTTTTAACTTTTCAAAACTCTAGAACTGAGAAAAGCTACAGCTTGTGTTAAAGGGGTCATATGATGCTATTTTAAATATCATTATTTTGTGTATTTGGTGAAACAGAATATGTTGACATGCTTTAATGTTCAAAAAACACATTATTTTTCAAATACTGTACATTGTACGGAAATGTAACGCACCCTTACCATAATCGCCAGCTTCAGCTTTCAAAGTAAATATCAAGACAGTTAATAATGTTGTTAGTTTTACCATCAGTTCAAGCCCGAAAGGGCAACAGAGTCGCGTGACAGACAGTGATGAGGCAGTTCACTCTCCTGTGATGTGACCCTGTTCCCCTCACACACACACACACACACACACGCACACACACACACACACGACGCGTCGCTCTGCGCTGTGCAACAC